AGTCCCCAACAAGTGCTCTCCGTGTGATCCTCACCGGCCTAAAATAACACAACGAATCAAGTTTTTTCTCCTCGGGGAATCATAGTGGATACCCGATATCATCCATGCCGATCCGAAATGTCGGACTGCTCCATGTCGTCCTCCTCCTGTTGCGACGCATCCCCCGAGCCGATGGTGAACAGCCGGCGGCGCGATGGCAGTCCCTCACCGGCCTCCTTCCTCAGGAACTGTGCGACCTCACGCGCTGAGGTGAAGGTGCGTTGTTCCCCGTTGATCGTCATCCTCAGGGTGGCTGGGTAGATTAGAAAAGCCGGGATGCCTCTCTCGTACAGCTCCATCACCTCTCCATACGCCTTCCTCCTCTCGCTCGTGAATGCGCTGTAATCCGCATAGAACCGTATTGTCCTCCCGGCATCCTGTATGGGAGCCTTCTTCCTCGCCGGCCCCTTGCAGGATGGTGTTGCGGCCCTGGTACCTGAGCACTTTGAATATCATGGTAGCCTGGCCGTTGTTTTTGTTACTGCGGATCCTATGGGCGCGCTCTATTTGAATCTTGGCGTCGCCGAGTGAGGGGATCCATTTTGGTAGCATGTATTGTAGGAAAGCGATTGCATCCCCTCCCTCTCTGTCGGTCGCGATCCCCGTAATTCTCACGTTGTCCGGTCCTCCTGATAATCTCAAGTTTATAAAATTGATGCCAGCAGTTACACACCAAAAAGGGCATCGCTGCTGCTATTAGCTGAATTGGAATGAATATGGAATGAATACATTAATATAAAAAATGAAAATGCTTGGAGATAAAAACCAAAAGGTTTAATAAAGAAAACCTTTATAGTCAGTGTTGGCTACTTTGTGAAGTATTTTGATTCTGGATTGATCTTTGAAGATTTATAAAACAAATGTGAATATAACATTACATTATTGTGCACACTGTAGGAAATAATTCATTCTGTGTATTGCCTCTAAGCATCTGTTCACATAAGTGTATAATCTCTTTGTAATTATCGAAGGTTTGATCAAATGTGTAGATCTCCTCTATGGAAACATCCCTTCCTCCAGTGTGCCGTCTGTCCTCCACCGCAATGCGCTCTGTCATCGGTCTTTACAAATTCAAAATGTCAACAAATGTCAACATGTAGCTAACTGCATTGATTACAGTGATTACAAGCAGATTGCATTTTGAGCTGACAAATGGATATGAATGTGAAAAGGAATATGTCAGGGTGATTTATTAGGCTTTGGATTTGCATGATGTGGATTTCAGTTCTTGTGCAAGGCCTGACGATGTTACATCTGTTCACATGGTGGGACCCACTGACATTTGCAATCAATTAAGCTTGAGTCGATCGACTGATCGTTTCAGCCCAACTGTCATTTTCTGTTCAATTCCTACTGAAATGTATCCGTTCTAACATTTATATAACATGAAACACACAGTAGTCTAATAGTACCTGACACAGCAAATACTAGTCTGTAATAAACATGCTCGCAGATTAGCTTGCTAGCAGTAGTGCTGGCTCATCTACTGTCACGTAGTCAGTCTGGCAGTCTGTGCACTGATCCCGAATATTTGGCAGTATTGGAGGCATTTCCGATATCTAGAGACAGTGTGTGGTTAGTCCGTTAAGAGATACTATAGAAACATGGCGGTTCAACATGGCGAACTGCCACACTGGACCTTTAATGTATTACTGTTTTAAGTTCAAAATTTTTTCTTTCATCTGAAACGTCATGCTGCTTTCTTGGCCAGGACTCCCTTGTAAAATATATTTTAAATCTCAGTGGTAATATTCCCAGTAAAATAAAGATTTAATAAAAAATTTAAAAAAATATCTTGTTTGGGTGACCAATTTACCCTCATGTTTCTTGCCCCACTGGACTGCTTACACAATGTCGCCAGATCAGAGATCCTAATGATTACTTTAGTGAATACGTAACTATGAAAATAAGACCCCAGTTGTTATAAAGTGGAATTATCCTTTAATGTGTATGAGAGCTGTTGCTACAGCAGGTCTGCTGTAAGCACTGCAGGATAGGAAATGGATGCAGATGATATCCTAGTTTTGCTCTTTACCCCTGTGTGTCAGGAAGAGAAGGAGAGGGATGGAGAGAGTGAAAGAGGGCGGTGTGGTGCCAATTTATCACTTTTTCAATATCTCTTTTGGTAAGATTAAAAAAGGAGTTTGAGATGGAAGGTTATTAAGGAATACATCACAGAGAGACAAGGAGCCACGGCAGGGTGTCCACTGGCAGCCTTTGGCAAACACAGGCTAAAATACAACCTCTTCACCACACACCCACCCACCCACACACACACACACACACACACAGATCCAGACAATCCAGCCCTGCTCTGCTGTAATAACTCTTTATTCCACTGTTGATGTCTGCTCATATTCTCTCTCCCTGTCTCTTGCTTCCCATCATGCTCTCTGCCTCTTTTGCTGGCAGTGGCGCAAACCACATTGTCATGGTAACTGGGGTACATGAGAGATGGAGCCCTGAGGTGGGATGACAGGGAGAAGGGGGGTGGGGTGGGAACATGCCTGTGTGAGTGTGCATTAATGCATGTATGCATTCTGGTGGAGGGGTTGGACTTGTGCAAACCAGATCCATGTACAATAATAGGCTTTAATGTTGTGTGCAGTCTGTCTGGGGAAATAAAGGCCAATGGGATGTGACAGATGAACGAGAGACGGCGGCTGATATGAAGACGGAGAGCTGAGCGCCCAGCATACCCAAACACATTTAACTCTGATGATTTACATCACATAATGCAGCCATGTTGCAGTGCCGTCTCGCTACACATTCTGTCTGTGTTTTATTGTTCGTGCATCATTTATGCACACATGGAGGTGTGTGTGTCTGTGTGTGCTTGTTGCTCAAAGCTCTCTATCCTCCATTTGGAAAAAACTGTCCCTGCAGCCCTGGAGAGACATGTGGTAGCCATGTGGCTCAAGCTAATGGACAATTAATGGGCTTGCAAACAGCTCAGCTAGTACCTAAGTGCCTGCAGATAAAGCAGTTTATCATACTCTGTGTGTACACACATACACGCAGAAATACATATGAGCAAGCACACGTACGCAAGTATACATACCAACCACCCTTCGCACACACACACACACACACACACACACAACACACACACACAACACGCGAAACCACACGCACACACACCTAGGAACGGGCCTGAGGCTTATCACAGTGTGTACACAGATTGCTGAGCTTTAGTAAACACTCAACTGACCAGGGATTGTGTCCGCTGGTGATGGAGTGTCTGTAGCTGTGTGTTTTACATGGAGATAATGACCTGGTGTACAAGGAATGACAGTTGATAATGTTGAAATAAATCTGTCTATATACATACTACAAATGGCAGAAAATAAATGTAACTGTACAGGCAGACTCAGCCCTTGAAATTCTCAAAGATTTGATATTTTGGGGGATTCATTAATTAAATTAGGCCAATTATTTCCTATCTATCCATACTGAAAAGTTTATTGCATGTTGAAATGTTCAATGTTGAGGAACAGCACAGAAAATGTGTGCTGGTGCTGAATGGATGAAACACTACCAACAAACAACAAACAAATATAAACAAAAAAGAACAACCTCTGCCTTGACAATTGGGAGATCATGTCAGGTTCTATCTGTTCCACAAGGACTTGCAACACTATAGAACAGGCCCTTTCAAAAATCTCAAAAAGAGTAGCTGTGAATCTAACCTTTTCAGAGATGTATTACAGGGTGTTCCTGTTATTGTGTTCACCCTGTTAAAAAACTGCCTCTGATAGTACATTTATTATAGCTGATGTTAATTAGTTGATGTTTCGGTGCATAATTAAAGCTACACTAGGATTCCTATTATCCTCTATCACAAAGTGGGCTGTAATGGGTGAGTCTCTTCCCCTCTCATTACGACGGCAGATTCACTCAATTTGCACAAATTAAATTCTGATTGTGGTGTCAGGTACGTTCCCTCTCCAATCAGGAAATGATGAATTGAAACTTAAATGTGAAATCAAAACTGTCTCTTAAACGGCATTTAATGAGTACTCGCTCAATGTTGCATAGGTGAAGTTTCGTATGAAATCAGTTCAGTAGAAAGGGAAAACAAAGGGAGAGGCAACCAACCTGGTGAGATCAGCCTGCTGCTGGAGTTGCTCTTGCACTTTGCGGCAGACCTCACCGGCCGTGTCGTAGACTTTGCCGACTTTGGTGAAGAGGGCGGCGATCTTGTCGCTGCGGAGAAAGCCGGCTGCCCGTCTCTTCAGCAGGTGACCCAGGCAGGCCTCGATGGCAGCTGGGGAGAGAAGAGGACAAGAGTTGGGAGCGTTAACATTGACAAGAGAGGATGACGGGTGACAGGGAGTAAAAGTAGGAAATAGTGAAATGTCCAATGTCAGGAAGGCAGCAGGTATGAGAGTTTATTGGCTAAATGAAAAAAAGGAGGACAAGAAATAACTGGTTAAATTTAAGTAAATAAGTCTGAAACAACAAAGGAATGAGGAGAAGGGCGTCTTTAATTTACCAGTAAGAACCAGATAAAGCCCACAATTGGCCCCTAAAGGCTGCAATGTTCATCACACACCACAATATGAAACACAATATGAGGCTCAAGAGGAAAGGCCATGGGGTCAGCAAAATCAAATATAAGGATACTGTGTTCCAAGATGGCTCCCCATTCATTCTTATGAAATTTGCTCAAAACATGCTCCAAGAGCTTCGACAGTTTTGGGTTCATAGAGCATCGGCACTACAGTCCTAGAAACTTCCTCCAGGGTTGGCTGACTTCCTGCACAGCTGAATGGCTTGAAATAATTTACTGATGCGGTTCTCCAAGCAGTTCCTTTTGTATTTATTGTGTATGGGAAAATACCTTTTTAGTGTATCAAATGATCCACCAACAGGCACCTAGTTTTGAACCATTCGGAACATTTTGATCAAAACTAAACTTGTTTGGAACCTGAAAAGTTGGTTCCCCACTGGAGCCAAAAAATAGCAGTTTTCCTTGGGAAACAAATTGGGCTTGTCATATTCTACAGGTCGTTATGCATTATGCAGCACCCTCTCTTGATAGATAGATAGATAGATAGATAGATAGATAGATGGATAGATAGACTTTATTAATCCCCAAAGGGAAATTGGGTCGTCATAGCAGCCAGTTACATTTAAATACAATAAAATACA